ATACTATATTAGAGTTATAAAGAATGATGCTATATTAAAAACTCATGTTCCCACTACACATGCACCCTTAATAGTACATTATAATTAATTTTCAAGTCTCCTAGTTGTCCTGCCCAAGTTCCACATTCTTTTCTGCCCTTTAAAGGTAACCTTCATCCCAAATTTATTGTTTATCTCTGCTTGCTCTTCTTTTATTTTATTACATGTATTTGATTCCTATGCAACATTTGTTTAAATTTGTATTTTTATTAACATAAAAGGATTCATTCTGTCAGTGTCTTTCCATGACATCATTTTTTGGTCAGTGTTATGTTCCTGAGATTCAGTGTTTTTGCCTGTGTCTCTAAGTCTCTGTCTCTGTCTCTCTCCCTGTCTCTATCTCTCTCTCTTTCCCTCCTGTTGTATAGTTTCATTTTGTAAATATATCACCATTCGTTTATCCAATTATCTATCAAAGGATATTTGTGTTTTCCTAGGAATTTTTTCTATCTTGCTGTGCTGCAATGAACATTCTTGTATATATCATATGGTGCACATATGCAAGAGTTTCTTCAGGTACATACATACCTCCTGGGTCATAGGGCTTGGGCATTTTAAGTTCACTATAAACTGCTAAATTATCTTCTGAAATAATTGTACCAATTTATGTTTATACCTGCAATGTACACATATTCCAATTGCTCTCAAACCTCACCAACTCTTGATATTGTTAGACTTCGTAAATTGTTGTAAATTCAGTGGGTATCAATTGTATCCCATAGTGTTTTAATTTGAATTCTCCATTACTATGCTCGCTTCGGCAGCACATATACTAAAATTGAATTCTCCATTACTAGTGAGGTTGAGAGTCTTTTCATGTGTTTATTCAGCATTCATCTTTCTGTAAAGTGCCTCTCCTGTGTTTTTTGCCCAATTTTCTATTTGGTGGTTTGTCTCTTTTTCCTATTATGTAAATGAGTTTTTTATATATTCCAGAAAGAAATCCTTTCTCAAGGATTTCTTCATCTAGTTTGTGGCCCTTCTTTTCATTGTCTTTATGTGACTTTTGATGAGCAGAAATTCTTTTTATTTTATTGCAATGTAGTAGAATTTATCAATCCTACATTTTAAGGCTAGTGCTTTTTAGGCCTGGCTTCAGATTATCCTTCCATACTCTGATCTCATAAAGATATTCTACTACATTCCTCCTAAAAGTTATATATTTTTGCCTCTCACATTTAGGTTCTTAATCCAATAGTAACTAATTTTTCTGTATAGTGTAAGGTAGAGGTCCAATTTCATATTTGTCCTTGCACTAACTGGCAACCAATTATTACAGCTTCAGAAGCATATCCTTACTCACTGATCAGCTATGCCACCTCTTTCCTAATTCAGACATCCACATGTGAGTGTGTCAGTTTGGAGGTCCTCTACTGGGTTGCAGTGGTTCATTTTCTATCTGTACCATTACTATAGTCTTAATTACTACAGCTTAAAATAAATCTTGATAAGGCAACTTTGCCACCTTTAGGTTTTTTTCCAGGGGTTATTTTGACCTTTTGCTCTATCATATAAATTTCCGAATCAACTTATCCAACTCCACAGAGACATAAAAAGAATGTTTGGTGATTTTATTGAAATTATATGGAATCAATAAATCAACTTCGGAAGAATTAAAATGTTTGTTATATCAAGGTTTCCAATTTCTCTATTCATGTAAGTTAACTGTAAAATCTTCTAATACAGTTTTATAATTTTCCTTATAAACATTTTAAAAATTTTATGATGTATTTATCCCTAGGTACTTTACTTTTATACTATATAAATTACATCTTTTAGAATTATATTTTAAAAACGTGTATTGCTGTGTAGAGATATGGAGTTGAATTTTGTATATTGGCTTTGAACCCAACAAATTTATTAAACTTTTATTGATTATAATAATTTGTGGATGCTTTGGAGTGTTTACATGGATCCACTTATTATCAGCAATTATGACAGTTTCATTTCTTCCTTCCCATTTCTGATACTGTTTCCCTGTCTTCCTTCACTGACTATGAAATCCAGTACAGCATTATACAGAATTAGTAACAGAGAATGCCCTTTTAAATTCCTTGATACCAGGGGCTGGCTCAGTCGGAAGAGCATGCAACTCTTGATCTCGGGGTCATGAGTTCGAACCCCTATTGGGTGTAGAGATTACTTAAAAATAAATAAATAAACTTTAAAATAAATAAAATAAAATAAATTCCTTGATACTAAAGAAACTGTGGCCAGGGTTTCACTATTAAGTATGACATTTTCTAGAGATTCTTTTTTTGTAGCTATCCTTTATTAGGCAGAAGGAGGAAGTCTCCATCTCTTCCTAATTAAGGATTTTAACACACATGGATGTTGAATTTAGTGATTATAGGGTTCATATTCTTTAATGTGGGCACTGTCTCCTGCCCCCTCTAGTTCACAAGGGCATGAAAGCTAAAGCTCAAGTTCTGGTTTCAACAAATGTCTTCAAGGAACAAGGTAGAGTCAGTCTTCCACTTCCATCTGAGTTCCTGCTTTCACTCAGGTGTAGGTTTCTATGAACGCCTTACTTTCCTACTAGCTCAGTGTTGTATTTTTTAAAAAGAGATACATTCTACAGTTGACCCTTGAACAACATGGGAATTACTGACCCCTTGTGCAGTCAAAAATTCACATATAGGGGGTGCCTGGGTGGCTAAGTCGGTTAAGCTGCCAACTCTTGATTTGGCTCAGGTCAAGATCTCAGGGTCGTGAGATCCAGCTCCTGTGTAGAGCTCTGCGCTCAGCAGGGAGTCTGCTTGGGATTCTCTCTCCCTCTCTCTCTGCCCCTCCCCAGCTCTTTCTCTCTCTCTCTCTCTTTCTCTCAAATAAATAAATAAATAAATAAATAAATAAATAAATAAATAAATCTTTTTAAAAAATTCACATATAATGTTTGACTCCCCTAAGACTCAGCTATTAATAGCCTACTGTTGACTGAAAACCATACCAATAAAAGAAACAGTAAACATATTTTGTATGTTACCTGTATTATATACTGTATTCTTACAATAGAAGTAGGCTAGAGAAAAGAAAATGTTAAGAAAATCATAAAACACATTTACAGCACCATACTGTATTTATTGAAAAAAATCTGCATATAAATGGACAGTGCAGTTCACACCAGTGTTCAAGGGTCAGCTGAATTTTATGTAGAAATTTTGGTTGTTTTCATTGGTGGGTGGCTCATCCATCCCTAATCCAGGGTATTTAGCCCACTGTAAGAAAGAGAAGTATTCCCTTTCTTTTCTGTTAAAATAATGTCCCTCACTTCTTTCAAAGCTTTTCTTGAAGTTTGCCTTTTTTTTTTTAAGATTTTCCTTTTTATCATGTTTTAGAAATTTTAACTTTATTAAATCTTGGTTTTTATGTAATTTTCCAAACCTTTGTCACCCAACTTTCTAACCCCTTAATAGTTTTACACATTTCTTTAAGACAGAAGTTGATCAGCTGTATGTAAATACTCTTTTGTCATGTACTTAAGTATCTTACTGTCTTATCTTAGACACTTTATCGTGGTTTTAGTTCACAAAGGCCAAGGATGTGCTCTCTTCTTCTGACCACCCCAGAACTGAAACTACACATTCTAGTTGCTGAGTGCATTGTGCTATTCCCTCAGTAAACTTGGTATGCTCTACAATTCCATCCTTCTACATTCCTTTTCTACATAGATGGAAACATATTGTCATGGGAAATTAATAATTCCTCTTATGACCAAAGCTCTATTCCATGCAGATGTCTATGCAAACTGAGACATTCCTGGCAAAAATCCAATTTAGAAGGATATCTCCTTCTCTCTCTCTCTCTCTCGTTTTTTTTTTAAGATTTTATTTATTTATTTGACAGAGAGAGACACAGCAAGAGAGGGAACACAAGCCGGGGACTGGGAGAGGGAGATCAGGCTTCCCACCGAGCAGAGAGCCCGATGCGGGGCTCGATCCCAGGACCCTGGGATCATGACCTGAGCCAAAGGCAGATGCTTAACGACTGAGCCACCCAGGCGCCCCTCTCTCTCTCATTTTTACTAAACATTCCTCATTTCCTTTCCTCATTCAACACTGTCTTTTTTCATAGTTCTTTTTTTTTTAAGGTTTTAAAGGGTTTTATTTTTTTTATTCTTATGTTAATCCCAATACATTACATCATTAGTTTTAGATGAAGTGTTCCATGATTCATTGTTTGTGCATAACACCCAGTGCTCCATGCAGAATGTGCCCTCCTCAATACCCACCACCAGGCTAACCCATCCTCCCACCCCCTCCCCTCTAGAACCCTGTTTGTTTTTCAGAGTCCATCGTCTCTCATGGTTCGTCTACCCCTCCGATTTCCCCCGCTTCATTCTTCCCCTCCCGCTACGTTCTTCTTCTTCTTCTTTTTTTTTTCTTAACATATATTGCATTATTTGTTTCAGAGGTACAGATCTGAGATTCAACAGTCTTGCACAATTCACAGCGCTTACCAGAGCACATACCCTCCCCAGTGTCTATCACCCAGTCACCCCATCCCCCCCACCCCACCCCCCACTCCAGCAACCCTCAGTTTGTTTCCTGCGATTAAGAATTCCTCATATCAGTGAGATCATATGATACATGTCTTTCTCTGTTTGACTTATTTCACTCAACATAATACCCTCCAGTTCCATCCACGTCGTTGCAAATGGCAACATCACTTCCTAATATGTTACGTATTTTTCTTATTTATTTTGTTTGTTGTTTACTGTCTATTTCTCCCCCAGTAGAAAGTAAGTTTTACGAGGGCATGGAGCTAACCTGTTTGGTACATGACACAGCTCAAACAGTGCCTGGGCTAGAGTAGGTTGAATTAAAATAACCGTCTAATAAATAAATGGCATATAACATTTGTAGAGGTAAATGGCAAAAGGAAAAAGAAAATCTCATGATTTATTTTTCTCATATGGATTCACTTTTCCTAATCAGTGCTGTATTATTTTTTGCTTTTAGATATCAATATGGCAGGAGAACCCAAACCGTACAGACCAAAACCTGGAAACAAGAGGCCCCTTTCTGCACTTTATAGGTAAGTAAGCAATTTTGCAAGATACAGTAATGGAAACTTGTTACGACTTTAGAAGGCAATATAACCTATAAGGAATGTTTTAAAGAACGATCTTTCCTGGCATAAAGTACAACAAAATGCTGGTGATCAGCATATAAATATATCACACAGCATTGGCAGGGATCTTGTACACCTAACCTTCCTATCTCCACTTAACCCCTATACAAAATAATCCTCTAATAAAAATCTAATAAAAATCTCTCGTGACTCTGCTGACAAAGTGGTGGAAAGGTCAGCATCTTTTGAGTACTGTATGCAGTGTACTGTAGGTATTTTTCCTGTGTTGTTTACCTTAACTTTCGTAACCAGCCTGCATTGTAGAAACTGCTACTCTCACCTTACAGATCAAGAACCTGATATGCATTTTCTTAGAGATTTTCCCTAGCTCACACCATTTGTAAATGATGGCACACAAATTCAGACTCATGCTTTCTGATACTATATCTTGAATTCTTTCCACCCAATCATTCAGCCTCTTTCTTCACAAACTACATGTTAATTCCCCCCTATTTCTCTAAAACAGCAAATGCAGTCTATCCCTTCTCCAGAGAGACATTCCTAACTACCTTTAACTTTTCCTAATACACTTAGGTCTGAGTCAACTTAACATTCTGGTCTTTCCCCTCTACATGCCCCAGTTTATCAATGTCCAGACCCAGAATTTCAATTGTAGGTGGATAAGTAGACGGTATTGAGGGTCTTTATTGTTCTGTGTAAACTTCTATCACTTTAAGTAAAATTCAGTTCCTTTTGGGAAGAAGACAAGAGTAAACTCATAGAACTTTTAGTTCTTTAAAAACAGCCACTTTTTTTTGCATTTTTTAAATTTTATTATGTTATGTTAATCACCATACATTACATCATTAGTTTTTGATGTAGTGTTCCACGATTCATAAAAACAGCCACTTTTGGAAAAAAAAAAATGCTCTGCTGCTAAGCCACATGTCCCACTTGATGAACTTTTGCCATAGGTTTTTGTATTGTTAAGTGCAGATTTTGTATTTCTTTCTCTGTTAAATTCCCTTTTGTTAGACTTAGCCAATTATTCCAAGCTATTGAGGTTTCCTATTATCCAATTTATTTAGTCTTCTCCCAGATACTTATCTTCATTCCATCAGTGTCCACATCCAAAGAGCTAATGTAAGTATTGAGCAAGGCCCCCCCTTTTCCCTGATATTATTTGGATAAAGGAGAACTGAGTTATAAAAATTGATTATATTCTGATCTAGTACAGTAGGAAGAGTATTCAAAAGATAGCTTGGAGCTGTTTTTTTGTTTTTGTTCTCAAGAACCAGCATTATCTCCTTTTTTCAGCCACTCACAGCCTCATTTCCCAAACTATGAAAGAAAAGGGTCAGAATTCGATGAGTTTCAGGTCCTATTCATTCTTAACACCCCAGTGCTCTCTAATGTGTGACCATCAGAGACCTTAAGGATATATTGAAAATATGTCTTAATTGCTCTTGTTATTTTGACTGTGTGGATTTATTTAATTTTAACTTAAAAATTTATATAAAAATGGAAAAGTGCAGGTCTTAACTAATTTGTTAAATGATCATAAGGCAGTATTGATGTTAAAGGTCAGAAATGAAGTTACCAACCAAAGGCAAGTGATCCTTTCTGTACCTTGTTTGAGGTAAAGGATAATACTAATAAAACTGAAAAATGTAACATCTTTTCTGATCAGATTCATTTTTAAATGTATGTGTAGAACAGCCGTTAACTCAGAACATTTGAAAAGTCGAATTTTCAATGATTAACAAAACAAACTGTCAGTGGCTTTTTTTCCTCATCAGAAAGTTACCACAGTGCAGTAATGTTAGTTTTCATATTTTCCCTGTTCTTGGACTGTTTTGATTTTCCTATGAAAATAGAAGCTTATGACAAGAAACAGATGTCTTTTTAACTATTATTTCTCTATTACTAAATTATGTTGAATTGTGAATTCAAACAAATCAGAAGCAGAAGCTCATTTAATCTGATATATTGTATACAAATCACATTAGTGGAGAAATGCTTATTTATCCTGTTCTCATCTGTTTACACAAATGAAGGCTAGGATGTCGTGAAATTACAAAGCAGTAACAAAGGGAACAAAAGAGAGCGAATGTGCAGCTGAGAAAGCCTTTTTATACACACTTTCTCATTCTGACATAAGCTTCATAATAGTAATACCTTCTTTTTATGTGGGCAAACTGGGCTTTCATAGTCAGTATTCATCTATTCACCACAGAACTCCACATATTATGTGCCTTGCATTATAAATGAGAAAACTATGTTTCCAAGACAATAAAGGACTCGCCCCAACTAAGGTAACAAGATAAGAACTGAACTCTGGTTTTCAGCTTTCAATTCTAGTGATCTTGGGGCGCCTGAGTGGCTCAGTTGGTTAAGCGGCTGCCTTCGGCTCAGGTCATGATCCTGGAGTCCCGGGATCGAGCCCCGCATCGGGCTCCCTGCTCAGCGGGGGGTCTGCTTCTCCCTCTGACCCTCTTCCCTCTCATGCTCTCGGTCTCTCATTCTCTCTCTCACAAATAAATAAAATCTTAAAAAAAAAAATTAAAAAAAAAACTCTAGTGATCTTGCCACTAGATCCCAGCTCCCCATAGTTACTCACCTGCTACTATCTAAACAATACAGATTACAAAAATCAGAGATTCCTGCGCACCAAAACCAATAATCAGTTATATTTCTGTCCATGAATATCATGCCAGCAGGTGGCAAAGGAAAGATTCTACACTAGACAGCATAAGAACAAGAGTTACAACCAATTTCTGTGATCATAGGGCACAGGTTGTGAGCTTCAAGTTCTTTATCCCACATAATGGTTGTACAATTTTCTTCACAGGATAAAATTAAATAATTGAGGCGAAAGCACCTGGCTTAGTGTAGGGCATACGGTAGCAGCTTGAAAAGAGGTTGTTTCTGCTTTCCTATTCTTTGTGTCTTGAGTCTCTTTTCCTTATCTGTGAGATGAAAGAGCTGAAATAATTTCATTTCTCCATTCATTCATTCTTTCATTCATTCATTCATTCATACAAGACATGTTTATTGTGTGTCTACTATGGTTTAGGCACTGTGGTAGCTGCTTTTCAAGGCAAATGACGTGGAAAATGCCAAGTCTACAGGGCAAGGAGAGAGCAAATGAAATACAATAAATTATTTTTCTGGTTATTAGTAACCTCCGATACACCATTGTGCTCTAAACTGCTATGTCTCTGTGTCTATTTACTCTGTTGGGGATGTGTATGATGTACTATCAGACTTTCTCCTTCATCTGTAACCATTTCATCTCCATCATCAACTACAAAGTAGTATTTACATGGAATACTCACTGAGGCGTTACTTCGCTCTGTTACTTCTTTTAACAGGATTTTCAGTTCAGCCAAGAAACCTTCACCAAGCATTTATCATGTGCTAAATTAACATGGTATACTTGAAAGACACAAAAAATTTTAAAAACATACCGAAGCTTTAAAATATTTACTGTTAAACATGAGTGAGACGTACATATAAATAAGGAACATAAATAAAGTATACATTCAGTTCTGTAAGAAATGAGAGAGTTACTGATCCTGCCAAGGGGGAAGAGAGTGAAAGGTCTGGGTGACACTTGAGCCGGCTTCTGCACAGGCAAGCATTCACTCAGTAGACAAAGAAAAAGAAGGGCATGCTGGGCAAAGAAAACATGAACAGGGTGATAGGCACAGAAATAAAGAAAATCATCTCATGGTGAGAACTAGTATGGTTCACTTGATGAAGAGCAGATACCTGGAATGCTATGGTGGCTCAGGCTATCAGGATTTTAATATGTGTGCTTATCAGATTAAGGAGATTTGGCTTTTATGCTACAGTCAACAAGGAGCCATTGGAATATTGTGAGCAGTTGGAAATGGAATGGAAGGATGAGTGAGAGTCACAGGTATGTCCAAGGTTTCTAGCTTAGGCAACTGATCATATGAGTCTGTTAGAAGAAGAGGAAAGACATGACAAGCAACAGCAGGCTCAAGTATAGAGTTGGGGAAAGGAAGCAAAAGAAATTATTTCAGTCTTAGACATGAATTCATAAAGACAGACAATTCATTAGAAGAGCGCTTGTAATAAAAATGTCTCCCATTAGGGGCTATTTGTAAATGAAACATAATTAATCATTTGTGAACATTCCATAAATATTGGACCCAGTCCTAATGGTGAATAGCATATCTATTCTCTAGGGAAAATATTGTAACTTTTAATAAATTGCTGCTTCCAATGTGCTGTGTACATTACACAGGGTCTATGAACGTCTAAAATAAAATTCTCTCCCAGGAAGTGAGTTTCCCTGCATGCTAAGCTCCAGTTAATGCTAAATAATAGCTAAATGAGAATAATTGTATGGTGGTTTTGTTTCTGCTTGTAAAGGAGACAGACCTTTCCTCTCTGAAGTGAGTAAAGCTGACAACCAGAGAACAAAGATACTATTTATCAGAGCTGACCAAGTACAGGTTTTCACTCACCTAGAGGCGGCCCTCCCAGTCGCAGGGAGCACAACCCAGTAAGACACAGGAAACGAAGCTTCATCCCACTCATTGCATGGATATTGCTAGGGATCATTCCCAAGTATGGTTTTATGCCAAATATGGTTATACAAATGCCTTTGATGGCAACCTTCCCACCTCACAGAGATGACCGTGGATATCAAGATTGTCACTGCAGGTAACTTTAAGGCTCCTTAAAATTGTCACAGGACGACCTATGGTATCACTATTTTCAGATCATCACAGTTAATGATGATAACCATGAAGGCAGGTTGTATTATAAGAACTTCAATGACCAGAACACTTTCAGAGGCTGGACCAAGTAAGATGACCCTGCAGAAAAATATCTCTGGTGGTTTGTTTACCACTTGACCTACGTGAGTTCTGTTATCATCCTTCATGATGACTCGGCACATCAGGGGACCCTCAAGTGACCCAAAATGT